TTAACTATGTAAGAAAAATTTACTAACCAATCAGGTTGCATTATCATTAATTATGTAAGCAAAACTTACTAACCAATCAGCTTACATTTCTGAATGTTGTAAGCAAAACTCACTGTTTAATATTTCCAAATGTTTAAAATTTTTAGTAAAAAAAACTCTTGGCAAGGTATTTAATATCAGATATTTTTCCTTCTGTTCATTTAAGAACACAACAGTTTACATGTAATTGAATAAATATCAAAAAGTGCAAATACCTCGGTTCCGACAATCGTAATGTTCCGTCTTTACGACAGACTATATCGTCTCTAGCGCCCTCTGTAAACTGAGCCAACCAACCAATACTTCCAACAAAGAAACACCCATTCATGTAAAATAATATCAAAGCTGGATATTTATTGGAGTTCTTCCAATCAGCAAAGAAGGTAGCCTTAAATTGAAAATGATATTCAAATTTAAAAAAAAAAAAAAAAAAAAAAACAATGCATCTACAAATCTATGACTATACAGTCTAATACTACCGGGGGTAATAATTTTTCAATGGACTCTGCACAATTTAATTTAATTTGACTTTTCAATGTATACTGCCCTCAATGGTGAAAGTTGCCATACATACTGTAAAGCATTTACCGGTAACTAGCATGTTATTTTAGCTAATTTAGCTAATATGTAATTCGCTAACACCTTCAAAATCTGTTAATTCGTGTGTTGAGTCAAATTTTCTGACATGCCATGTAGCTTAAATTGTTTGACAGTACTATTTTCACATAGTAATTACAAAAAGTACAAGCAAGCAAGTTGTTTATCAGTGTCTTTCAAAGCCTTAAGGTGAGAAACTAGAAACTAGGTGACACTGTCTGTATACCAGCATGCATTATTATACAGATCAAAAACAAAATGGCAATATCATTCCTGTAGGTAACAATTTAAATTAGAATCACGTAATTAGATTAGCAAAAACTTACAAAAACTCAATGAATTTTAATTTCCATTTGTGTAGCTGTAATATACTTGTTTTCAAACTCACTCAATACAAGACATTATTGTTTTGTTTTTCACTGGAACACTGCATTTTGAAAAGTTTAAGTGAAACTCTCACCACCTCAGCCTATCCTTTTTCATTCGTTTGGGTTTTTTGTTTCATCTAGTATTGTAAAATTGAAAACGTTGCGGCTTGTATTTAAATTGCGAAGATTCAAGACTCATTACGCATTTAGATGCATTAGTGGGTGGTCGGGTATACACCACAATACCAGTCATCAATCTTTGTAACTATATGAGCCGTCACGCTAAACAACAACAAAAACACCCATTTTCATTCATTCACATGTAAAAAGAAAAAAAAATTCTTTACACGCATCTCAAAGATTTAAATAGTGAGTGAAATGCTTTGTGCCCTGGGCAATCCTGTGGTGACTGGCCAAATGACAACGGACGGGCAATCCTGTGGTGGCTGGCCAAATGACAACAGACGGGCAATCCTGTGGTGGTTGGCCAAATGACAACAGACGGGCAATCCTGTGGTGGCTGGCCAAATGACAACAGACGGGCAATCCTGTGGTGGTTGGCCAAATGACAACAGACGGGCAATCCTGTGGTGGTTGGCCAAATGACAACAGACGGGCAATCCTGTGGTGGTTGGCCGAATGACAACAAACGGGCAATCCTGTGGTGGTTGGCCAAATGACAACAGACGGGCAATCCTGTGGTGGCTGGTCAAATGACAACAGACGGGCAATCATGTGGTGGTTGGCCGAATGACAACAAACGGGCAATCCTGTGGTGGTTGGCCGAATGACAACAAACGGGCAATCTTGTGGTGGCTGGTCAAATGACAACAGACGGGCAATCCTGTGGTGGTTGGCCAAATGACAACAGACGGGCAATCCTGTGGTGGATGGCCGAATGACAACGGGCAAGAACAGATAAATGGGGTTAAAGACCCAAAGGTATTCTGGAATTTGTTCTTTAATTAGCATAACAAAGATTAGTCAGTTACTGTGTAACAGCTGAATATGGAAATAAAGTACAAGTATGTCCCAATTACCAAAACTGTCAAAGCATTCACCATCACAAAAAATATTAACAATGTTGGATTCTCACTAATTTATGAGAATATTTTGATGAATATTTCTTTTTCTAATACCAACTGTACTATTATGGTTAGCACTAGAACCTTGTTCAACATGTGCATACATATAATATTTTTATATTTTATACATATAAGCAGAGGTACATTACTTGGGGTTTGCAACTATGGTGACATGATACCAAGATCCCGTTTAGATCTTGCTCTCGCATAAGCGTTCCAACTCAGAAAAATGTGAATGTGCATGCCCGAGGTAACGAGGATACTGGGATGTCCAGGTGGATCGAAATAGCTGCTCACGATATAATGGATTACGATAACTATATTTTCTGTACTTATTCTATGTATTACATTTTTTCAAATCTGAGAGAGGTACACATGTAGTACCTATATACGTAATATAAAAGCAAGCGTTTTTTAATTACCAAAAATGACAAAAATATTTACCAAAAATAGAGAATTTAAGATTTCGACATGAAATGAACAAATCTGAGAAAGAACCATTCAAGGTACTTGCATATCAAATTTGAAAAAAATTCTGACTTGCGGTTTCGAAAAAGAAGTTGAAAATGTAAAGTTGATGACGACGGACAATCAGTAATATGAACAGCTCCGCTGTGTTGAATTTGTCGACAGCAGAGCTAAAAAGAGAACTACCGTTTCTGCTTTGATAGACATTTTGTAGATTTGCTGACTTTTATGATTCTAATGAAAAATCTTGAAATATAAATGGAAATTACGTGAACAGCAGTGCCCTGAAGACAGAATGCGAAATTACCTATTTTGCTGTCACAGCTATTTCGCGATCACCCTCCGTTTTAAGCAATTGACATTTATTTTTCAATTTTTTTTTAACAGAATCACAACAGACTGCAACGAACAAAAAATAGATTTTTTTATTACAAGTGTAGAAAAAGACCACACTGGGCGTATGCCCGGCCGGACATGACCTCAATTTCTTTATTGAATCAAACTTAGGGGGTACACATTTGCCTGGGCATGGGCGCTTACCCGGACAACTACGGTATATTGATTTTTTAAAAAGAAAAAAATTAAACCAAACCAAAAAATCACCAATGCAATTAATAAAAAATCCCCTAGTAATGTGAAAAAAACATAAAAACCATCCTGACACAGAAACCCTCAGTAATTATTGGTTTGGAAATGACGTAGTTTTGTGAGTGAGATGCTATCAAAAGAAATCCACGAAGACAATCCGATAACGATAACTCAGCATCTAAAAATACTTCACAAGTGTGTGAAACATGAGTTGCCATGGTGATGGGCATAGATGTTAGAGAATCACTAGCATGTTAGATATCATACATTAAAGCAACGATTTGGCAAAGTGTCAAATACATTCACAATATATCTGTAATCTCCACCAGACAGGAAATTCCATTCTGACAGTCACAATAATAAAATATTTTATTATCATCAGTATCTCTTTGAAAAACTCTGATTAAGATCTAATGTAGGTAGAGAATATGATCGCTGGTTTATGGCCACTTGTGTACACACCTCAAACTTCCTCTGACCAACTACCTATATAAAACGCATTCAAGTCTTGCATGATCTGCAGTCAATCAGAACATGCATTACAGGTCGCTTTCTAGAGTGACATAGTCAGATTTATTATGATTCAAATAATCCAAGCATGGATATGCAAATATAGTGAAACTAATAACTAAAAAATAATCGTTTTCCAGTCGGAAAATACAGTGCGGTCGTAAATTATGCGATAAGCAGTCGATTAAAAGTGGGAAGTTGGGCGAAATGAGTACAGTAGTTCATGTGATATTAGCATATTTCTAATTTAATTTTAACTCGTACAATATTTATTCACTCACTGTTTACTATAGCTAGAACGCTGTACGTGTCTTCACTTTCAGGTTAGTCCTTCTGCCGATTTCTCGCAACCATCAACGTGATTTTTTATTTGGAATTTCGAACATGAATGTTTCGACTTTTAAGTTGTCAGTTAACAAGGTCTTTCATAGTAGCATTTCTATGGAATTGACGTACTAGAATGAATGGGTTCAATTATCAGTGTTCACTGATGACATCATTTGACTGGCCCTCTAGAGGCGAAATGACGCCAGGCAAAACAGACGTTTGTCGTCTGCTTCACAGCCCGTACGTTTTATACCCAATATTCGCAGAACATACAAGTTGTTTTTATCGACAGAATTCATTCATAGATCTCAAATTTCATGTACAGAGTGTCAAAAGCCAAACCTCTACTCCCCTTTAAGTAACAGACATATCTTGGTTTAATCAAATACATAATAATTATGGCAGTTCTGTCCATCTTACTAATACCATTGAAATCATCACTACACCTGTAATCATGATTAAAAATAGAAAATTACTTTACTTCAAATTTAAATATCTAAAAAAACACGACTTACCAATGTGAAGAATGTAGAAGCGCAGCAAAGCGATGCCATGACGGCGATGAACAGATGGACATGGTTGTGTTCATCATCAGTAAATAATGGATTCTTACACTGAATTCCACAGCCTTCAACATTCTCGTACCAACTCTTTTTATTGTCCGTTTCAACCAATGGGGATTCACAACCGGTTGTTGTATTGAATGTCAACTGTGAAAAGGTGTTCTGAAAAAAATAACAAGCTTTAGTTTACTGAACCATTAGAGGATTGAGTGAAACCTGTGTAAACTGAACACTGAACCATTTTATAAGTCAGTGAAATCTGTGTAAACTGAACACTGGACCATTAGAAGAATTGGTGAAACATGTGTAAATTAAACACTGAACCATTATACAAGTCAGTGAAATCTATGTAAAATGAACACTAAACCATTAGACAATTCAGTGAAACCTGTGTAAACTGAACACTGGACCATTATAAGATTCAATGAAATCTGTGTAAACTGAGCACTGAATCTTTAGAAGATTCAATGAAACCTGTGTAAACTGAACATTGGACGATTAAGTGAAAAGTGTGTATCCTAAGTGAAAACTGAACATTAGAAGATTCAGTGAAATCTGTGTAAACTGAACCGTTAGCAGATTAAGTGTTACATGACACTAAATCAATGGAAGATACAGTGAAACCTGTGTAAACTGAACACTGAATCATTAGATAATTCAGTAAAATCTGTGTAAACTGAACCATTAGAAGATTAATTGAAGCACTGAACATTAGAAAATGCAGTGAAACCTGTGTAACCTGAACAGTGAACCATTAGAAGATTCAGTGAAACCTGTGTAAACTGAACACTGAATCATTAGATGATTCAGTAAAATCTGTGTAAACTAAACCATTAGAAGATTAATTGAAGCACTGACCATTAGAAAATGCAGTGAAACCTGTGTAACCTGAACAGTGAACCATTAGAAGATTCAGTGAAACCTGTGTAAACTGAACAGTGAACCATTAGAAGATTCAGTAAAACCTGTGTAAACTGAACAGTGAACCATTAGAAGATTCAGTGAAACCTGTGTAAACTGAACAGTGAACCATTAGAAGATTCAGTGAAACCTGTGTAAACTGAACAGTGAACCATTTGAAGATTCAGTGAAACCTGTGTAAACTGAACAGTGAACCATTTGAAGATTCAGTGAAACCTGTGTAAACTGAACAGTGAACCATTAGAAGATTCAGTGAAACCCGTGTAAACTGACAGTGAACCATTAGAAGATTCAGTGAAATCTGTGTAAACTA